ACGTACCCTTTACAAGCTGCAAGATTTTCTATTCCTCGCTCTTATTGGGCATCAAGCCCCAAGTCACATCTCTTCGCATTCCCAGCTGTTGCCCTTTCGTAAGAACTCATTTATAGATAACATTTATGGCAACGCAGATACACAGTACATAATGGTTCAACGGTTAAGCCTTTGTTGCATGTTCTTCACGTCGTCTTACGCTTCCATCGCATTTCCGGCTGTCTGTTCGGCTGCCTGTTGTCCGTGCGCTTCTTTCCGAGGGTTTCAGACATATTGGTTGGCTCCTGCGGAACCTTGCAATGACGGCGGATGGTCCTTCATCAGTGATTCCGAACCCCACCCCCATGAGGCTCACGGTCCAATAAACTGGATACGGACAGGAATTAAACGCGGCCCAAAGAAATCTGACGGCAGATTTTATGACAAGCAGGAGAAAATTGGACGACAAGTGACTGTGGATAGCGCCGCAAACAATTGATTCGAGGTCAAACCAATCTAATTGGCCGAAACATAATTTGAGTCACTGATTCTACATCTATTTGCGATAAATATCTAAATAATCATTCGCGTTCATCAACTCCTTCGCATTCGCAAAACAATTTGCTATTTCAACACGTAAACAGTTACCACAACCACATCTCATGTCATGGATCTCAGGAATCTCATCACTTACACTTGCCAAAATTAATATTTGATCAAACAACAAGTTTCACATATCTGAGTGTACAAAACTAATCATGTCTTCTTTGGTGTGCCTCGAGAATATACATTTTACTTAGTTATATGCTTTGGAAATGATAGATGATTTGACTACAAATGCAACACGTGTCTTGACATAGTGTGAAATGGTGACAATTGAGAGCAAGTACAATGCTTTGTTAGAGGAAAATTAGATGGGGTCTAGAAACGTGTTGCCAGAGCAAGAACTCAAAAAGAGCACTCACATGCATGGTCAAGCTAGTTGTGTATACCGTCACGTACAATTGCTCGTCAAAAAGCCGACACAGGAGTCGTCCAACCACATGGCTGTGGATAAAGTAGTACTGCGCCAGGAACAATGCGTTACTCGATGTAAAAAAAAATCAAAGCAAAACACTCTGGATCCCAATCTCGCATAAAGGCCACATATTTGCGCTTACGTGACTGACACAAGGAGGGATTGCTTAAGCGTAGCAAATGTGTGACAGCGAACGGACGCTTATGAATCTCTTGATAGATCATTGATTCCTATTATTATATTTGGTGCTATCGCCTACTCGTGTCAATTGTAAAATTCGATAATTCATCGACGACCATTCTCAAGTAGAAATTCACGCGTGCATCCGGAAAACTGATTGGAGTTGACTACGACGATTCTTTTTTAACCCCGTGTTAAAAATCACATACTCAGAGATACTATTTGTGTCAAGCTTCTGATATTTTTGGCAGCAAGAAGTGAAGCCCAGTGCGTGCGCTACCATGGTGGATAAGGCAAATTTCAGACACTTACGTGTGATATATTAGACAGTCAATCCAATGAAGTATCTTACGAGGCATGAGAAGTGACTAGGAGTATACGTTAAAGTGGTTCGCTGAGAGTCAGACAACATGATTAATGCAGACGTGGAAGTGCTACAAGGCTAAAGTAAAAACAAAGTCAACGTTTTCAGTATATTGGAATATTTGTATTTCGGGTTGCCAGCTGTAATAATGATTGCCTCTCCGAGCTGAGTAATTCCATTGCAGATGTGCCGCCACCAAGCGAGATCGCATCATCGGTGTGTGGCTTGTTAGCAGATAATGAGCATCGAGCAAATCCAGAGAATGATACCGTCTCTGATACGCGGCGGATGAAGAGAAGCAACACAACGAAGAGGCATAGTAGCATCATGGATGAAGCGGGCAAATGTGCACGGCTGTATAATATTTGAATGTCCGTAACATATAAACTTGGGCTGTCACACCGGATGACATTATTGCATCGCCTCGGGTTCCCGACAAAATGGCCTCAGTGCGTTGATTACGAGAGTACCGGTGGCCCTACTGGAGCCTAGTGGGCGTGTGGGCATGTAAAGTTGGAGTGAAAATCAGGAACAGAAGCACATGGAATTTAAATGACTAACCATCCATGTTACTTAGGTTCCAATCAACCTGTGGCAGCATTGGGGTCAAATAACGTGAAGCACTGAGAGTCGGGGTGGGATGCAAAGTGAAAATCAACGTCTGAGTGTGTAGATCGCCGATGTACCAACAATGTCACTAGCCAGGTAAGTTAAAGCAATTCAAGTCAAAATAAGCTCTATCTATCCGGATGGGATATATTTTCAGCATTTTACAACATCGACAAGGGATGAGCTAAAATGACATTATTAGAACTAAATTTATAGGAATGGATAAAAGGACAGAGTGTAGAAGTGTCAGTTGAATAAACGATCAGCGAAAATGAGCAAACAGTTCCGGACGAAACGATTTAAAGCCAGTTAGTTAGATTTTCAATCGGGACCGTCCATCTTCACGTGCGCAGAATCTTGAATGGTTCTCAAAGATTACGTGAAGGACAGCAGCCGAAATAGCTTGACAAATACCGATGTTGAAATATTCCGATAAAGTTAATGTATCCATAGGGATATTTCAAAAACGATGTTCAGTAAGAACAGCATGGCCGATTTGAAAGGCCCCGCCCGTCAGAACCAGGGAGTACAAAAAGAGCGAGATAAAGCGACGAGCAAGTTAATTTTCCCACATGACTGGCGGGATCGGTCATACAGTACCTAGACTCTGTCCATTTGCTCATAAGGTATCGGCAGTACTCCGATATGCAGTACCGACGCTTCGCTGCCGCGCAAACACCACCAGTCGCACGTGGGCTGGGAATACTAACGATGGTCGCTCGGTCCTATACGCAGGCTCGAACCCGCGCCCTCGGGCTAAAATGCAGGCTTTTGATCCCACAGAACGGCTCCTATACCATGCCAAATGCAGTCACCAGCATTGGCTGTCATGACGGAAGTAGTAAGAAGTATTGGTGGGTGGGTGCGGGCTACAAGTCCCAAAGTGGTTCTCAGCCAACGAAGCACGGAGGACTTAAGTGAGCCATTTCCCATCTATCTCGTGCGCTGAGATTTGGGTAGCCCAACATTCCAATACGCATTCTTGCGACCATTCATCCGGTGTTCCTTCCTGATGGATTGGATAAATTACTGCCTCATGATGGTGCCTAAAGATTTGAACAGGTATTTGTTCCGATTGTTCCGGTGATCAGATGAGCACCGAGCCATCACTGCGAAAAATCAAATAAAGCTACCCTAATCTATGAGGGCGGTAGAGGAGTAAGACGCGCAAGTGCGTTCCCATGAACTTCCTTCTGGTTCTCATATAAGTATGGAAAATCATCACCAAAATAACAGTCTGCAAAGGGGTAAAATCAAACAGAACGGTTCCGGAGCAACGCAGCTTCCGTCAATATCAATAGTTAACCAATAAACTGATTGTGGAAAGGGGTATCTGAGCCATGTTTGATGATAAGGATTGCCTGATCTTATTAACTCTTACCGGTGCTAAGATCAAAACACCGATCCACACGAGCCCCGAGTCACCAACCCGGAAATCCTACTCTTGAGTGGAGTGGGAACTTCCTCCTACATATGTGGACCAAGTTGGTTAGAAACCAATTGTATCTTCCAATTCAACTTAAATACACTTAGTTACAACATCGGGGACACATTGGCACGTACTATTTCCTAACAGTGACCTGATGCAGGTGAATTTCCCATAGCTTGCTGTAGCTAAGCTAGGCAAGAATAATGCCAAACAGGCAAGTCAGTGATCGCTCAATATCAACCCTAACAGTGCACAGAAATGGGCAATGTGAAACGCTCTAAACCCACTTGAATAATTAGAAAGTGCCCTCTAAACGTTATTGACAAAACGTTAAGTACATGCTCACCGACCATGTCTTGCAGACTCCTCACAGGAGCGTGCCCTTGGGGTTAATACGCAAGATCGCCTCGACTTGTATAAAAATCTGGTCACACTGGTGAAGACCAAAACCAATTTCGAACTGCGTTCGTGTTTGCAATGAAATTGCATCCTACGTCAAAGAAAGCTTCACATGAACCAACACAGTGTTAAAATAAGTAACCGATCCGGATAAACTGTTTGAAGTGTACTTATAGGCAGCATAGAAGACGTCGGCACCAGTTACTGGATTTGCTCGAGGCTCAGAATCTGCTATCAAGCCATTTGCTTATACGCATTGAAAATGCCACTTCGATCGGTGACCAAACATCTGCGAACGAATTGCGCAGTCCCGAGAAACAATCCTCACCTCAAAGCCAAAGTTGAAAGTAAACCCAGAACTTGTCTGATGCAATGTGGCGACCGAACGGTATTTCATCCTGTGCACATATGTTCGTCGGGCATAAACGCGAGATGAATGGTTGAGACGCACACAGAAAGAGATGAAGAGCAAGATTAGCTGCACGAAGGCCGAACTTAAGCCGATCGTTTGATCGGACAGAACTGATAAGTGGATGTTGCTGTGTTGACAGTAGCAGATAGCTAACGCAAAGAGGTTACAAATTAAAATACACACTAACCAGGTACACCACTCCAAAGGGGTGAGATGAACCATTGGCAAGGAGTGACAAGTGAGGTGGATAAGCGACAACTTTCGGATCACCATGATACGCGCGCAATAAAAACCGAAAATATTATGGATTCGGCCACAGAAAGAATTGATAATAACAAATAATCAAAGCTATGTGGCAGAATAGAGAATTAAAACGGAACCCATACTAACTACATCCAGTTGTAATGGGGTTGAGTTAAACCAGATGGGAGGAGCAGAATGACCAAAACGGCCCAACGCTCTACGCGTGTCGGAATCGCAAAAAGTTTTTTACTGCTGCGTTCACAGATACAAAAGAGAATCAGAACCAAATGGGATACCGGTGACCAGAGTTATAACGGATAGCAAAGCATACGTTTCACTTTGACGAGCACTGGATTAGTAAACTCACTTAAGAATCAGAGAGACATCAATGAGCTTGAGGACTATGGCCGTGAGAACGCTGGTGGCGCAACTTGAGCGGCGCGTAGTGGATTCTGGGGTGATCAAATGATGAAATCTGGTTGATATAGGAGAATCGTCAGCAGCCAAGCAAACTACGCCATCTATAACATCAAGCGTCCAAGTGAAGAAACCGGAAGCAGGAGGAGCGACCTTGAAGAGTGTATGGAAGTTGGCGTGAGAACGCATGATTTGCAAAAAATCTAACTCGAGAGAGTAAATAGCCTCGAGTTCTGGAGCATCCGGTCGAAGAGATGAGCTATCCACCAACGTGTGAACTCGGCTGTCTACCTAAATGATGTGGAGGTATCAGAAAGGAAAGCGTACTTGAACGGCCAAAATGAGGGAATAGTTTGCACATGGAGGTGAACGTCTTAAAATGGGAACACAACGCTATCATCACTTTAAGCCTATGGCAGCGAATGGTTCGCGCTTGCCTAAGAGATGTAAGGAAAGTGAAATAAAAAACCAGCACGGCGAAAGATACCTTGCTGATGCATCCAGCATATGTAGTAAGCCACTCTTGAATGCTTAGTGTTTGAATGAGATTGCCATGTAAGAGTAGACCCATAAGATAGATCAACTGGTAGGATCGTCCCTTGCTGTGGTCTGGAGGGTGAACCAAATAATTTAACCGATACCATTAGCGTATTGCTTCGCACAAAATTTGCTGGCAGCAGCGGACTCGTATTGTACTATGAATGATGGAGAGTTAAAAGCCTGGTATAGAACACGTGATAAGCAGGTGAACAAGTAACCGGAGACAGATACAGGAAACTCCTCTCCTATGGAAAATAAATGTTTTTGGAGGGTAACACAATAACGGGTGCAGAGTGACACTTCTTGCTAAACTGTCGCTCAATTGAAGTATTCAGTTTTTCTCCGATGGTACGCAGCTAGTGTGAAAGGAGGCGAAGATTAGTGTTGAGACTAAGGTAGTGTTACGTTCAATGCATACAGCTGCATAAACCATTGAAGAGGTGATCTGAAAGCAATTAGTATGAGGATTTTCCTGGTCATACTCTTTTCACTAACGGTATGGGCCACATGGAGAGGCGATATAAGTTTCGGTGCAAGTCGAAGAAGAATTGATAACGACCTAAAGTAGCACTGAATACTATACAAGATGTCGAAGTGGTCATATCCGTTGATTTCGCAAAGACAATTCCAACGCATTTATTTGAGTTAGTCAGGAGAAAAGCCATAGAAAAACATGTAAAATAAGTGTACGTTCCTAATTCGTACATAAATGTGTGCGTTAAAATTTATTACAAACCACAGAAGCATTTTCATTTTATCCGATAACCCAAGTGGTGGTAAGGCTGATAAATGAGTGGTCTACATGCGGTGATGTCCGTACCAGCAGGGATAAGCGAGCAGAATAAGTTAACAAATGCAAAAATCGAGAGATAAGCTTTTCCAATCGGCGACGATTATGACACCAGAGATGCAACATTGTCTGAAGAATCAACTGTAAGAGAGGAGGACGCGATTTGTTCCAATGTGAAACAGTAAAACGTCATCCCTTTGACATGAGTGCCTAAGAAATTTTCACGACTTGATAGCAAGTAGTTACAAGGCAGATGGATATTGGATGTTGCTCGCTATAAAGCACTGCATTCCACCACAAGGTTGGAACTGGTTAGGTCTCATCAAGTAGAACGAGATAGCTGGTACGTAAACCCGAAGCTTTTGGGATGTCAGCTGAAACCTTTGACCCTAAGGCACCGAGTCATGGCAGGCAACGCTTACATGGTTTTAGTTGAAATGAACGGCGAAATTATATTCATTGGCACGAACTGAGCAAATGATCACTAGCTGAGAACGGGACAAAACTGGATAGATCAAATGGACTGGGTAACCAGACAAGTCGGACTAGCCACCATTTGGTTAACATTGATTAGTTCTGATGCGCAGGATAACTTGCAGATTGCGGTGGCCAACAATTAGCGTGGTACCATGAACTGGAAGCGAGGAGTGAGTGAGTCAATGAAGTTTCCAGAATGTGACCAGCTCTGCAGGTTACTCGGATGTGAACTGCATAAAAGCATGCTTGCTCATAATGCTCAGGGACAAAACAAACTATTTAATGGGCTAGCGAGGACCGAGAAGAAACACCTTAAAATGCTACCTGTGCCTGACCCGCGGATCAGCGAGTTGAGGGCGAAAATCAGGTCAGAGTTCCACTGCCCTTACGTGTGGCAACATTATTCTACCGCTCTTATACTTTCTGGAATTATACCTCCAAGTTGTATTACACACCCACCTGCATACACCCAGTAAATCAGACTCGAGGAGTCACACCCAATGTTCTAGATATGCAGATTTCACACATTACAGATAACACCTATCGCATATTTTCAAGTTTTGAGTCCTCTCCGCTGAAGCACATAAGCACAGCTTCATCGCCCTTGCATCTCACATTACGAATTGTGACCTAAGCTGGAATCCTAGCTTACAAGTTCGG